TCCACTAGTATCCACGGCCCTTACCAGTCGGTCTTGAAGAGCTTGACCAGCCGCTTTTGTGTGCAGGAACGTGGCTATGCGTGTAGTCTTGCCCAAGGATGGAGTACATAGCTTGCTGAATCTTGGTGCGTTCAAGGGAGTTGGCCTGTGTCATGACCATATGCTTCTGCTCTTTGGAGATGTTGGACTTTGCAAGGAGGTGCCAACCTTGAACTTCTGCAGGGAGCTTGACTTCATGTTTCTCCAAGCGCAGCAGGCGCTCATCGTGGTCGGTGATGAACTGCAGAAATTAGGCTGAGAAGTCTGATGGCATCTCCACCTTGCTGTCACACTGGAAGGTTGTGTCCAACATTCCAAAGATATCTTTGAAGGCAGAGTCACTGCCAGTCTTCTCAAGGTCAAGGTCCTCGACCAACTTCCATGCTGTCCCCTGCAAGGAGCCGAGGAGGTTCAACACACATTCTCCTTTGCGGTTGGTCAGTTCCATCTTCTTTGCATAGATTGTGATTCTCTTCCGCCGTTCCTTGTAGTTTGCTGGAGTCCCATCGAAGATTGGGATGTAGCTGTCACGGGTGCTCTGCTGGTCCAAAGACGAAGCACCGCCACTTGTCGCAGCTGTTGCAGCGGTCGCCATAGTTCTCCACAGGAAAGTCCAGGTAGAGGAGAAGCATTGCAAATGGCCAAGTAGAAGAGAAGCACTGCTAGTGGTGAACAGGTAGAAGAGAAGCACTGCTGTTGCCAGAGCCCGATGTCCAGGTTATACTCAAGGCTGTAGGTCGGGCAAAGTGCAAAGCTCGGTAGATCTTGCTCAAAAAGTTGTAGAGGGAAATCGCAGGGTTGAAGGTGAAGTTGTAAAAGGTGAAGGTTTGGTTGTAGTGCGCAGGCAGCAAGCTGGAAGGTTCCAGCTCCGCTACCAATGTAGCTTCAGGAGTCTTCAGGAGCAAACAGGTCAGTCCAAGAAGCAAGTTGGAACACACGAGGTTTCTGTAGGGCAGCGCAGGCACGCGAAGCCTCAGCGCCTTTTCAGTCGCAGCTATTGCTCAGCATTTTTTCCCACCCCCTTGCTGTCATTGGGCATTGGGCCCAAAGCAGCATCGGTGGATATACCTTGGTGAACCTTAGTATGAAAGATACCTGCAGGTCAGGAACAGGTGGTTTCAGTTGCATGCCACATCTATGCAAATGACAGCTTGTTTTTTGTTTGTGTTGAGAGACTGCCAGATGGAGCTGTCACTCGGCGCCCCACTGCACAGTACACTGAATCTACTGCTTGCCAAACTGGGATGTGTTTTGTTAGTGCTTTGTTTGATCGTGGGTTCTTGCTGCCTTGATTTTGCTTTTGCTAAAATTGCCGGTGCCGGTGGTTTTGCCATCCCTCCCAATGGTGTTTTGGTAGATGGACTGCTGGTTCAACTGGAAACAGCGCGCCGCTGCGTGTAATAATTTTTGCTGTTGCATTTGCAACTTCAGTATAGAGTTCCTGCTGCACCCTTTATATACCAGTCGTTCTTTACTGGTCACCACGAGCACGTGCGCGTGCTGTGGCCATCTGCGTGGCAATCCCTATGTCAAGACTTCTTGTCCTTGGCCTTGCGTGTTTTGCCATGGCTTTTTTCACAGATTGACGGTTTTGTTCCCCACATCACTGTGTGGGATTCTTTTTTTTGCTGGCAATCCGCCGCCTCCTCCCTCCTCTTCCTCCCGCCGTCCTCCCTCATCCTCCTCACATCACCAGCCATCAACTTGTCTCTATCACACGTTATCTACTTCTATCTCTTCCTCTATCAACTTCTCTCTATCAACTTGTCTCTAGGACATGCTATCAACTTCGTTCTATCAACTTCTTTCTATCAACTTCTTTCTATCAACTTCTTTCTATCAACTTCTTTCTATGACCTTCGTCCATGGTGCTTGGATCAATCAACTTCTCTCCTTCACACTCCTCTCTACCAACTTGTCTCCATTACCAGCTTCTCTCTATCAACTTGTCTCTATCTCTATCACATTCATCTGTACCAACTTCTCTCTATCACACTCCTCTTTATCAACTTGGCGCAGCACTTGGTGACTTTGTGTAGACTGTCTGGGCGCTGGGCGTTGGGACGCCGCGACTGCTTCAGGTGGCAGGTGCGGCGCTTGGTGACTCTCTGTAGGCTGTCTGGACGCTGGGGCGCCGCGGCGGAGGCTGCCAAAAATCGGTTTCGCGAACCTGACGTAACGAAATCTTACGTCGGGTTCTAAACGGCCCCCGTGTGACTCTACACCAACCTGGGGAACATCCATGGAAAGGCTGTCTGGGGCCATGTTAGGCCTATGCTGGGCCATGGTTCAAACTGGTTCAGACACGCTTCAGACTGGTTCGGACATGGATCAAACCAGCGTCCAGACAGTCTGCAGAGAGAGAGTCACCAAGCGCGGCGAAACAGCCGCGGCGTGCCCAGCGCACATGGCCGAACATATACGCATGGCCCCAGAGGGCCTTCCTTTCATGGAGGCTTTTAATTAAGCGTTAGAAGAGAGTCACATGGGGGCCGTTCTGAACCCCAACGTAAGATTTCCTTACGTCAGGGTATAGGCGCATCATGGCCCCAGAGAGGCCTTCCATGGAAGCTTTTGCGGAGAATCACATGCACGGGGTGGGGTCGTTCTTTGCGAAACCCATTTTTGGCAGCCCATACGGCCCAACATAATTAGGCACAACATGGCCCGCAACCAGTCTGAATCCGTCTGAAGCAGTCTGAACCGTGACTGAACCAGTCTGGGCCATGTGTAAAAGTGTTTGTGTGTGTAAAAGCTTCTGTGTGTAAAAGCTGCCTTTGTGTAAAAGCGTCTGTGTGAAAAGTGTTTGTGTAAAGCTGCTCTGTGTACAGGCTTTCTGTTGACATGCTCCTGTGTGTAAAAGGTGCTCTGTGTAAAGGCTTCCCTGTGTAAAAGCTTCCGTCTGTAAAAGTTGCTTTGTGTACAAAGCGTCTGTGTGGAAAAGCTGCTCTGTGCAAAGGCTATATAAATGCTTCTGTGTCTAAAAGCTGCAAAAAGCTGCTCTGTGTAAAAGTGTCTGTGTGTAAAAGGGTCTGTGTGTGTGTGTCAATGCGTCCGTGTGTAAAGGGTAAAAGCTTCTGTGTATAAAGGGTGCCCTCTGTGCAAATACTTCTGTGCGTAAAAGCTGCTCTGCGTAAAGGCTGCCCTGTGTAAAAGCTTCCGTGTGTAAAAGCTGTTTTGTGTACAAGCTTCTGTGTGTAAAAGCTGCTTTGTGTGTAAAAGCCTTCCTGTGTAAAAGCGTCTGTGTGTAAAGCTTTTGTGTGCAAATTCATCTGTGTGCAACTTCTCTGTGTAAATACTTCTGCGTGTAAAAGCTGCTCTGTATAAAGGCTTCCCTGTGCAAAAGCTTCTGTGTATAAAAGCGTCTGTGTGTAAAAGCGTCCGTGTGTAAAAGCTTCTGTGTGTAAAGCTGCTCTGTGTAAATGCTTCTGTGTGTAAAAGCTGCTTTGTGTAAAATAAGCGTCTGCGCGCAAAAGCTTCTCTGTGCAAAAGCGTCAGGCTTCTGTATAAAAGCCGGTTTGTAAATGCGTAAAAGCTGCTCTGTGTAAAGGCGTCCCTGTGTAAAAGCTTCTGTGTGGAAATGCGTCTGTGTGTAAAAGCGTGTGTGTGTGTGTAAAAGCTGCTCTGCGTAAAAGCTGCTCTGTATAAGGGCTTCCCTGTGTAAAAGCTTCTGTGTGCAAAAGCTGCTTTGAGTACAAAGCGTCTGTGTGGAAAACTTGCTCTGTGTAAAGGTTTCTCTGTGTAAATGCTTCTGCGTGTGAAAGCTGCTCTATGTAAAAGCGTCTGTGTAAAAGCCGCCCTGTGTAATACCTTTTGTGTGCAAAGGCTTCTCTGTGTAAATGCTTCTGTGTGTAAAAGCTGCTCTGTGTAAAGGCTTCCCTTTGCAAAAGCGTCTGTAAAAGCGTCCGTGTGCAGCGTCTGTGTCAAAAACTGCTTTGTGTAAAAGCTTCTGTGTGTAAAGGCTCCTGTGTGTAAAAGCTGCTCTGTGTGTAAAAGTGCCTGTGTGTAAAAGTTGCTCTGTGTAAAAGCTGCTCTGTATAAGGGTTTCCCTGTGTAAAAGCTTCTGTGTGTAAAAGCTGCTCTGTGTAAAAGTGTCTGTGTGCAAAAGACTTCTGTGTAAAAAAACTGGTCTGTCTAAAAACTTCTGTGTGTAAAGGCTGCTCTGTGTAAAGGTTTGCCTGTGTAAAAGTTTCTATGGGTGTAAAAATTGTTTTGTGTACTAAGCATCTGTGTGGAAAAGTTGCCCTGTGTAAAGGCTTCTCTGCGTAAATGCTTCTGTGTGTAAAAACTGCTCTGTGTAAAAGCGTCTGTGTGTAAAAGCTGCTTTGTAAGAAAACGGTTGTGTCTAAACGGCGTCTCTGTAAAAGTTTCTGTGCCTAGAGACTTCTATGTATATAAATTGCTTTGTGTAAAAGCGTCTGTGTGTAAAAACTTCTGTGTGTAAAGGCTTCCTGTGTAAATGTTGTCTGTCTGCCTGCCTGTCTGCCTGTCTGTCTATCGATCCAACCATCCATCCATCGATCTATCGATCGACCGATTTATCAATTTATCTATCTACCTATCTCTCTACCTACTTACCCATCTATTCATCTACCCATCTATCATTTGCTCCCGCCGTCCCAAGTCATCACCTTCTTCTCATGACAATCGGAAGGCTTAACATGTCGGGTTATCTGGTCCTTTAATGTGAACTCTTGCTGTGTCCATTGTTTTCATTGTTGCTCTCCTCCCCTCCCTGCCTTTGTTTTCCCTCTTGTTGTATAGCGGCTCAATTGAGGTTGGTGGGCTAGAATGGTACTGTCTGCAGGGGGGTGTTTGCATGGTAATCCTGATACCTTTCGACAAGTATGTTCCTAGTTGTGTGTTTGTCGGAACACAGATGACACACTCTTTGAAACCTTGGACAGATTCGTTGTTTGCATCTACCCTGCGGATTGAATTCACAGTTTACAAAACTAGAGGCCGCACCCTCACCGACATTGGCTGAGCCAGCAAGTACGCCATTGACCGCAGCAGCGTTGCAGCGACATGAGGACGGCCGGCAGAATGAATGCTGGGTTTTCGCAACTAGGTTTTGTTCTTGTGCAAGAATAGAACATGTATCAAGGTGGGTCAAGGTCTCCAAACATGTCTTGACAGCTCAGCTTGGACATGCAATTGTGATTTGGAAGAGTGGAAGGCACTGATGCAGCAACCATCTGGTGATTCTTCCTCGGATGCAATGGCGCAACTTGGCTGCAGATTGTCGCATATTCCTGGGTGCAAGAAATGCAGAAACATGCAGAACCCTATTGGATAGGATATGCATGTGTCAAGCATTGTCAAGCTGTTGGAAAAGCAGATACAAGCAGGGCCACCATGATAAACGTGTTTCATTTTGTTTTCCTTGCTTTGCGCCGAAGAAGATTGCTAGTACCAGTAGGTAAGCACCGTTTGCAAGGTAGTGGAGTTTGATTATGTAGTGGAGTTTGGTAGGGCCACGACCACATGATCATGATGTTTGGGCACACACAACTGATTAAGACACGACTGAACTCCTTTCATGAAGTATGCCCCTGCTGTGTCACCTCCGTGGACAAATTCTAGGAATCCGACTCACAAATTGGGGAGTGGGTGGAAGCTTGGGGTAGCGTGCTGCCAAAAATATTCATTGCAAACCTAGAGAGCAGGGATGCAACTGTCCTGCATCCGTTTGGCATCGTTCGGCTTGTCGTCCGTCCAGTGTGATCCCTTCTTGGTGCAATTCGCGCACAGTTGGTTTATGGATCGGGAGAAACAGTTGGGATACCAATGTTCTCACCGTGCATCCACGCATTGCACACTTGGCATGCTACAAAGCAAGCAGTGGGGTGAAATGTTAAAGTTGCTTGCTCTTGCATCATTGGTGCAGTGTGAGGCATTCTAGGAAGCAGCCCTGTCAAGCGTAGGTCCTGTCCATTAGCCTTCTAAATTGAATGCCCTCCTCCACCCTTCCCACCTCTGCGAAAGAAGCAAAAGATCATTTGGTCACAAGCCGAGATGCCAGGTGCAGCCCCCCTTTAACCCACAGTTCATAAGACTCACACAGCTGCTCCGTGTGTTGGACTGCAGTTTCTGGCCGTGATACTTGCTTTATTTGGGAACCAACCTCCATGCAGGGTTCTACCAACCTGACGAACACATGGAAGTACTGGTAGTGCGGAAGACGTTGAAGACGCGTTAAGGAAGCCTTTGAAGCCTTTGGCCGGGGCTGAAGTGAACACTGCTGCGCCAGGTTGGCTGGAGTGCCAGCGAGCCTTTCCCTTGGCATGAGCATGCACCAGGGTGCCATCTTTGGTGTGGTTTCAACAGTTGCAGTGGAGGCTACTCTTGGGGCCCTCGGGGGTGGATAGACTAGTGTAGCTGTCCTGGTCCTTTCAATCACATGTCACGTGTCGTTTTTTGGGATGTCGATTTGCCTCAGGCTATGCAATTGAGCTTGGCCCAGAAAAGAGGTGCGGACTGATACAGACAGCCACGGGGATCAGAAACCGTGCACGATGTGGGTTCTTCAGTTTGTGGAATTTAAGATAAGAATATATAAGAATGGAATCATGGATAAGATAAGATATATAAGTATATTACAGTGTATAATAAGGTAAGTTAAATATTTCTCGAAGTGTGGCTAGATCAGCTAGATCGGTCAGGCTCAGCAGCCGCTCAAACTGCCAACCTGGCATCTGCAGCAGCTCGTGGAGCAGCTGTGGGAGCCGCAGGAGACCTATGGAGACCTATGGAGACCTATGGAGACCTATGGAGACCTATGGAGACCTATGGAGACCTTGCACCTCAGTGAGACAAAGTAAGGTTGCCAAGGAAGGGCCAGGGTGAGTTTCGAGTGCAATGAGCGTAGAAGCGCGCATAGGAGGCGGAATGGCTCTCCTTCTGGGACCAGTTGCCCCAACCGCGCTTTGGTTTGCAGACATAGTTTGGCAATATCTGTCATGTCCAAAGCAGGTTTGGCTGCCACCCGACTTTGCAAAGAGGGGGTGTCATTTTGTCACATGTGAAAATGTGTGAGGCAATATTCGTCGGCCCGCATCTTAATCAGCGTGTCGAGACTTCAACCTTGAAATATAATTATATATATATATGTATATCCTGAAATGTTTTTTTCTTTTGATCCTGCTGCTAACAGCAGAGGCTGAATGTGACTGTTGGGTTTCCTCCAGGCTATGGACTGATTCGGGAATGGTCAGCCCAGGCTGCATGGCAGAGAGATGGGTCATGTCTGAGTTGTGTCCACTTAAGCTCATTTTGATTCATTTTGCAGCGTTTCGTTGTCCAAGATTTGTTGTGATGGCTAATTCATGGAATGGTGTGTTCATTTTGGTTTCGTCAACAGGCGGCTGTATTCAACTCGGCTTGCAGGGGCAAACAAGTGTTTTGGCGCTGGGGATCAATGCAGATTTAGTAGCTTTCGGCACATTTACGCCAGCTATGATGGCAGGTTAACTTTTGGTTTGCCCCTTCTGCCATCTTATTGCCAAAGCTATGAAAGCATTTGTCCTCGCTTCCATGTTGTTGCCCAAACTTGGAGACAACCAGAACCACGATGGAAGACAAAGCTGCATACAGAAGAGCCTCAAAGAGAGGGAGAGATCAGAAGGTTTTCCAACATTATGTTTTTCTTTGCCAGTAAATTTACGCTACGGGCAATTGAGAGGGAGGGAAGAGCGGCAAAGAGGCGGGAGGCAAGGGGGTATAGTGCCCCAAAATTTTCTTACTCCGTCCCTGTTCAATGCCTTTGTCCATGAGTCATGGAGTTTGTGCAGACAAGGTTGAGAACCAGCATGTTTAGGTTCTAATGCAACTATGCAAGGATATGCTTCCGATTTCAAGCCACACAATTTTGATGAATTTGCCCTTCAGACTTCTACCATCTTCTACCCAATTTTAGCAGTCGTATTGTGTTCAAGATCTGCAAATCCAGGGCTATGCTTGGCTTCAGAATCAGACAACCGGCGCGCTGGCTTTGAGCCGGGCGGTGGAAGTTTCTGGTAGTGCTGCTGGGGGAGTGGCTTGCGCAGCTGAGATGCGTTTAATCAGATTGGAAGGCGAGAGAAAATGAAAATGAGAATTTGAACCGTATGAGATACTCTGAGAATCTCTCAGGTATTGCAACTACATGCAACTACACCACATATTGTGTAGCTTGAAGAAAGCAGAGCCAGTGCCGTGTGCAGATCTGTGTGCCATCTTGTGCTGGGCTCTGAGGCAATGGCTGCTGCCACACTTCTGAGCGGCTTCAGCGGTGTAGCTATAGCAGCTGCAGCCGGATGCAGTGGTTTTGCCGGCAGCTTGGGTGGCCGCGAAGTGGTGCCTTGGCAGTTGCTGCTATTGCCGGAGTTGCGCAGGACAGGCACGTGACACGCTGCCTCGCCAAATCAAGAGGATCTGTGCAAAAGGGCTTTCCACATCTTTCCACTAGACGCTTCACCAAGATTCTTTGCCAGTGCTCCCAAGCTCTTCCCCATACACGTCCCCAAGATCCTTTGCAACCAAGTCTCCAATCAATGACTAAGAAGTGAGAAGTTTGCCTGCATAAGTATGCATAAGTGATTAGAGGCTAAGGACCTAGACTCTAGACCTAGAATGCTAGAGTCTGCTAGAGGCTCCTTGCAGTGCTTTTCTGGTTGAGCGTCTTGGATTTGTTTCCCTGGGCTGAGAATGTGGCAGTTGTGAATCCAGATCTGAGGCTGCTGTTTGCTTCCAACATCTTTCCACTGATTTTCCTCCCGCAGCAAAGCGCTGCAAGAGTCGTAGCTCTAAGAGCTCCAAAAGCAGAAGAAGCTCCTCGAAGCAAAGAAAGAGGTGGAAGCTATGGGAGGATGTGCAGCAAACCGATCAAAGGGCAGATGAGATTCTACTTGCTTTAACAATGGTTTATATGCAATTATAATCATTTATGTACAATATTTCACTATTTACGTTGTCTGCGGATTTTTCAAGTAGGCTTTGCCATTCGTATTCCTGGCTGGGGGACAGGGTTGGATAATGTTGGATAGTCGCCTCCATGCTGCAAAATGAGCAGCATATCAGATTGGTTCAACACAGCAGAAAAATAGGTGTGCCGCTGTGCCTTGATAACAATATCGAAGTGAGTGAGGCCAGTCAACAACTTGTTTCCATTGGCAGTTCTATGGTCGCTTTCCATAGGGGCACTGCCCTTACCACTCAGCAGACACAGGCCGTAACACTTGGTAATGGAATCCATTTAAGCTCCTGCTGTGAGGCAATGTCTCAGTTTCATTGGTAGATAATTTGATTCGAGGCAAAGCATAGGGGATGCAGGAGATCTCAGTGTTTTTCTGCAATCAGTTTGAATTCTCCGGCTCTGTCACTAGTATATATTTGTACTGTAGCTGTAGCTTAGTCACCGACACGTGCACAGCCTGGAAATACAATAGGTTTCCCAGCCCAGAGTTGTGTGAAGTAAGGACGTTCCTCCACTCAATTGGTGCCGCTGGAGAAAGGGCCTCAGTTTCTGACGGAGCTGTACGAAGAACGAAGGAAAAACGCAACTGCTGGTTTTTATTGCCACTCTGCAAACTTTGAAACAGTCTGTTGATTACTCTTCACCCCAAATTGAGTGCAGGTGGGACATGGGCACGAGTCAAAGTTACGTAAGTATGGTGCAGCACACCGACTTTGGATGAATTTGGATAGACATATTAACATGACTAAACATTATCAGGTCAGGTCTTAAAGATTGACCCAATAATCAAATCGCGTGGCTATCTTTATGTTTGTTGATTATTGCCTGTCTGTCTAGGATTATCTATAAGCATCTGATCCGATCCAACCCAATCTGTTCATATCTATCTATACTCGATCTATTATTTATGCTCCCTCTAGACTGTTCTAATATCGCACAGCACTGCCTTTGAGACTGTACGAGGCCGTGGATGTTGGAGGCGCACTTGCGTAGTCTTGCCCAATACCCCCTGATTTGGGCATGGCTCGAACTTGTTACGCCCAAAATTTGTGGCCCCTTTGGGTTTCTGTTTTGAGCCAGAACTGCTTCGCATGAACTGGCGCGTGGAGCTGACACTCATATTTGCAATCGTAGGCGCTGGGTCTGACAGCTATGGACTGGTAGCTGTACTGTTGCAGACGTGGCAGGCATATTCGATACTTGGCGTGGATCCGCAATGCTCCAATGCTGAACTGAAGAGGGCTTACCGGCAAGCAGTTTTGCGGAGCCAGTCTGAGGCTACTTGAAGCTGCAAATGGTCTGAATCTAGTAGTGTTGTGTAGACATAGGAGTGTGCACATCTAGCTCGAGGTAACCCGGACAAGCCCAAAGGTGTCAAAGCACTTTCCATTCCCCCAGCCCTCATGTCTTGGTACAGAGATCCATCTTAGCACCTCCGAGGATATGCCCACGTCGCAATTTGACGATGTGATACAAGCTATGGAGAGGATTCGCGCCACACGGCAAACACCATTGCAGCTGGATCTCGTGCCAGATATTTGGCTGGAACCAGCACAGATGACGCAGAGGGAAGAGCATGGAGAGCATTTCAAGCAAGGCTATGATCGGAGTCATTTTGCTGGCTTTATCGGCGGGATGGTGGCCCAGCAAGCTGCAATGAGTTCTGTTTAGGGATTTCTTTGCTCAGTGATGCTCAGTGCCTCTAGTATGTCTCTAGGGATTGTTCAGTCTCGTGGTTTCTAATTGCTTGCGATATGTGACGGTCCGTGGTGCTTGGAAGATCTTGGAAGCATTCGGATCGAGACATGATTTTCACGGCGCAGTGACCGCATCACTGTGTGTGTGTGGGGGCGCCTCCGTCAGCGCAGAGCAGATTTGCGCGAAAACAGCATGAATTACGCAACAAGCAGATGACTCCGTCGACATCTCCGTTGACTTGCTCCACACAAGAAACGGAAGTTTTTGTCGATTTTTGTCACGATTACATACTCTTACAATCTCTTACACAGTTACTGTATCACGCATTTTGTTTGCTTTGCTGAGAACGGAACGCATATCCTTTTTGCGCGTTTGCATGTGGCTTACTGTTTGAGTAGTATGATAGGGGTCAACAAGGTACTGGAAATTCTAAGACCGCTTGTAAATGCCAGGTACAACACGGTCAAAGTCATTGATCAGCAGGCCCCGACAACAGTTCATTGACATTTTCCTTCTCGTATGTTCCAGCATTGCAGCACTTTCAACACTACGAAGACAGATTTGGACCTTCTGCAGATCCCAAGCCTTCGGGGTGATGAAAAGCCCAATCGGGGTGAAGATGACAAGATACTGTAGGAATAGATAATAGATACAAAAAGATCATTTGCTACAGCTTTTGCTACAGTTCACTACGGCTCAATGAGATCCTGTCATTTGATTTGCCTCCTGCCAGGCAGTGAACCTGCTTGAGATGCTTGCTCGACGAGCACAACTGTTTCGAACCCGAACCTCCACGGAGCCAGCCAACTTGGTGACCCCTGAGCTGGGGAGCCTAAGAATCCTCCCCAGAGTTGTACAAAGCCACGCTCAAAACGTTTTGATTCTGACATGATTGCAGGATATTGCAGGCATGTGAAGATAATCATATAATCGAAGAAATCAAGTCGTTGTCATGGCCCTTGCCATTTTTGTTCCGAGATGGCTCCATCCCCATTTGATGGATGTACGTCTCGCATGGTTCTCATGTCCTTTCAGAGGCTTGTGGGAGCAGCCTACCCACTCTCTTCAATGTTAATTTGTTTGCTTCGCTTCTGTTTGGTTCTTTTCAACGGCGTTTCTGCGGCTTTTCTTGGCCTGCTGTTTGAGCTGAAATCGGGACGTGTCAAGTTGCAGCAGGTTGCCAGGTTGCCCCACCTTGTTTGCACCTTTTTTGTCACTGGTCACTGGTGCTTCTACGCCCAGAGCTTTTGTTCCTCTGTTCGTTTTCTTTATCCGTACATTCGAGCGCAAATATTGAGTATTATTGAGTCACTTTGCGAGTACGTTCCTGGGCAGGAGGCAGCAAGTCAGCAAGCAGAAAGTCAGCAAGGGGGCTTAGCCAGTTCGTTGGCTAGTGGGCCACACGCGTGTGCGTGTGGGGGTGGGTGCGTGTGTGTGGGAGTGTGTGGGGGGCTGTGGGGGTGTGTGGGGGTGTGGGGGTGTGTGAGGTGGGTATGTGTGAGTGTGAGAAGCCCTGAAACAAAGGGTATCAATACCAACAATCACTAGCAGGGGGTAGCGGCAGATCACTTGGGACCGCTACCAACGAAGGCACCCATTTGATCTGGTGATACAGAATGGGACGCCAATCTGCGTACCTGCAACATTACTACGGTTTTCAATTACGTAGACTCGACAGTGAACGTCGTCAGCATTTTCGTCCTCATGCCAAGCGGCTAAGCCAAGAACCGCCTCGCCGAAGTTGTTTGCACATTCACATCAATTATCAACATGTCATGCCGAAGATGCTCTTGTTAACTGGGATTAGTTTGAAGTCTTGAATTATACATGACGATATCATGACACTATTTATTCACTATTCAGCAAGCAGTTCCAGCACAAGCATGTCAAGCCTGACCAGAACAACCACCAGCACAACGGCATGTTGTACTTCAAGCACATCAGCCAACAGCACCAGCACAGGTACTTCCAGCACATCTATGACCAGTGCCAGCTTCTGCAGCCAGCACCTCCAGAAGCAGCACTTCAATTTCCAACATTTCAACAAGCAGCACGAGCATGTCAAGCACATCAACAAGCAGCTCCAGCATAAACAGTTCAAGCACAACCACTTCAAGCACAATCAGAACCATTACCAGTACAACGGCAACCTCTACCTCAAGCACATCAGCCAACAGCACCAGCACAGGTACCTCCAGCATTTCCTTGACCGGCACCAGCACCTTCAGCACTTCCGCAACCAGCACCTAAACAAGCAGCAAAAGTACATCAATCAGCACCAAGCAATTCCAGCAGAAGCACTTCAAGCCTGACCGGAACAACTCCCAGCACAACGGCATGTTCTACTTCAAGCACATCAGCCAACAGCACCAGCACAGGTACTTCCAGCACATCTATGACCAGCGCCAGCTTCTGCAACCAGCACCTCAAGAAGCAGCACTTCAATGTCCAATATTTCAACAAGCAGCACAAGCATGTCAAGCACATCAACCAGCAGTTCAAGCACAACCACCAAGACACTTGTCATGACTTGCTTGAACGATTGTCATAGCATAATATAGCATACATGAGTTGCGTTGCACGGAACCAGCTGAAGTATCACCGCCGGCAAGGAGGGTAGAGTTGCAACCATTTTCAGGGGCAGTCGCTTTCACTACTCAACAGTGAACCCTAATGTTTTTCAACCATGTGTGTCACCAACATCACCCATTTGTTGTTGTACTTCCAAACAATTGACATGAAACGACTTTTTCTCCCCTCAGTCAGAGTTATGTTTCACTCCGAATTTCGCTTCGACACCATAGCCATGACATCTTTGGCACAATTGCCGATCAGCCCTTCAGTTAACTAACTCATTATACAGACACGCACTGTATCAACGTTAGCCAACTTTTCAAGGGCCACTTTCAGCACCGAGGGGTGACGTTCAAAACCATGACAAACGCGAGCACGCGAGCACCAAAACACTTGCCCGAGCGGCTTATTGTGTGTGAGAAGCCCTGAAACAAAGGGTATCAATACCAACAATCACTAGCAGGGGGTAGCGGCAGATCACTTGGGACCGCTACCAACGAAGGCACCCATTTGATCTGGTGATACAGAATGGGACGCCAATCTGCGTACCTGCAACATTACTACGGTCTTCAATTACGTAGACTCGACAGTGAACTTCGTCAGCATTTTCGTCCTCATGGCAAGCGGCTAAGCCAAGAACCGCCTCGCCGAAGTTGTTTGCACATTCACATCAATTATCAACATGTCATGCCGAAGATACTCTTGTTATATAACTGGGATTGACGATATCATGACACTATTCATCTCATCTCATCTGACGTCTCTCCCTTTGGGGTGTTCCAAAGAGTGTTTGTGTGTGTGTGTGCGTGTGCGTGTGCGTGTGGGTGTGCGTGTGCGTGTGCGTGTGCGTGTGCGTGTGTGCGTGCGTGTGCGTCTCCGTGTGCGTCTCCGTGTCTCTGTGTCTCTGTGTGTGTGTCTCTGTGTGTGTGTCTCTGTGTGTGTGTGTGTCTCTGTGTGTGTGTCTCTGTGTGTCTCTGTGTGCGCATTGTTACTGCACTATTGTCGCAATCTGATTTTTTTAAACCTCTGTCTCAATTTGACTACGGCGCTGGCGATGAGAACTTTGCACTGTTTTTCGGGGCCTGTCAATGACCCCTTCCTGTCGGTATAACTGGATTGTTTTTGCACGTAAGATGCACTCCACAACAAAATTTGCAATGACAGTTCTGAGCAAGCGCGTGCGCGTGTGTTAAGAAGGATTTCTTGTGTCCGGGCATGCACATTGCGAAAGAGTCTTGGCGCAGACGTAACCTGCAATATGCATGGATTAGCATGTCTCTCTACCATGTTTTTGGGCTATCTCTTTAGGCACTGTTTTGCAATTTTTGTCCCTAACTTTTGGGAATTTTTGTCCCTAACTTTTGCCTCTTTGGGGAATTTTTGTCCCCAACTTTTGGTGATTTTTTGTCCCCAACTTTTGTGTGTTTGGGGAATTTTTGTCCCCAACTTTTGCCAAAAGTTGGGGACATGACAAAAATTCACCAAAAGTTGGGGACAAAAATTCCCCAAAGAGGCAATAGTTGGGGACAAAAATTCACCAAAAGTTGGGGACAAAAATTCCCCAAAGAGGCAAAAGCTAGGGACAAAAATTACCAAACTTAGGCCAGACTTAGGGACAATAATTACCCAAACTTAGGGACAACAATTACCCAAACTTGCGGACAATAATTACCAAACTTAGGCCAAACGTAGGGACAATAATTCCCCAAACTTGGGGACAATAATTACCAAACCTAGGGACAATAATTACCCAAACTTGGACAAAATAGCTCTAAAGAAAACGTGGTAGAGCGCCATGCTAATGCATGGATGATGTTTTTGGCAACGTTGCAACATTGTCATCCAACTACCATTCCTGTCTGTTTCCACACAACTATGTCTCGCGCAATGTCTACATGGTTTGCGCGTGCATATGATGCTGAAAGTCTTTTTAAAGGGCAGGGCCTCGGCTTCCTGCTTCAGAAACATCCATGTTGGCGTGGAAGACCCATTATATGGAAGGTGGAAGGGCGATCCCAGAGTTCCAACTGACTGCTCAATTTTTGACAACAAAGTCTTTTTATATGATTTTACAAATTTTATATGGCTATGTATGGCTGGTTTATCTTGGGTCTGCCGCGATATGTCGCATAAATATATTTGCGTGATCACACCGTGATGACACTGTGTTTCTCGAGGTTTCTCAGTGTCAAGAGTTTTCCTCCGTTGACCTGGGTTGTAGAGGCCCCAGGGATCTCCAGGGTCTTCGCAAAGACAGTGGATTTATGGCACGTTTTTTTTGGGAACCAACGAGTGTTCTGCCAAGCCCTTTGGGCATGTAATGGCATATACACATGAATTCCCAAGCATTCATTGCTCATTGACACGTTTTCCTTTTTTGCAATGTTTGTTGGCAGGACTTTGTGCAGGAAATGCCCGATTCTGTTGCTCATGCAGCAGACCCAGCGACGGCATGGCTGAGGCGGAAAGACATCCCTACCCTCTTAAAGATGGAATTTGAGGGGGGGGAGTCGTACTGAAATTTCATTTTAAAATTTAAAATTCCATTTTTGCAATCATGCTTTCTCAATGATCAATATTCCTCATCATTCCATGTCATTGGCAAGCAGATGAAAATTAAATACTTGCGCTTAGCTCCGGAGGGGCCAAGCACATATCAGACTGAAGCAGCACATGTGTAGGGATGGCATCCCTCCAAAAATTGCGCTGCCGTCATCATACTTGCGGAGGAGCTAAGCGCAAGTATTTTCTAATTCTAACCAGTGCCCAAGGCTTGTCAAGAAATGTTACTTTACAATTCCATTTGAGGGGCTGGATCACTATCCCAGGGTTTCCAAGCAGAAAAAAGTGGAATTCGACAGGTTGGTTTTGTCCCCCCCCCGCCCTCCTCCTCTAGAGGGTAGGGATGGGAAGACCAGCTTAGTTCATTTGAATCCTTTGCATCTTTTCGCTGGGCAGACCGCAGCCTCGTGCTGTTGATTTCAAAAGATTTAGTGTGGTGTGTGGTTTATTTTTCCGCGACCGCCTATGAAACATGTGCCGTTGTTGGCCCAGCCGACCGGTTGGCCTAGTGTAAGGGTGTGAGATGCAGTGGGCCGTCCTTGCTAGTCGTATTTGATTGGGCGCGCAATGGCGGAAATTTTGACCCCAGCCACTTACCCTCTCTGCCACTCTGGCAGAGTGGCTGCCGCAGCCACTCAGCCACTCAGCCGCTCTGGCAAGAGTGACTGGCGACCACTCAGCCACTCAGCCACTCCGAGTGACTGAGTGGCTGAGTGGTTGCTCCAGCCGTGGCTGAGTGGCTGAGTGGCTGAGTGGCCGGGGTGGATGACAAACTTCCTTCCACTAGTGGCGGATTATCTTTATGGAAAAACTTTTCGATATATCCGCACCTTAAACCCCGCAAAGTCTTTCACTACACACATTGTCTGTGGCATGACGTGGCGGCATCTTAATTTGTATTGGTATTGGCGCCATCTGGTTTTTTATTCTTTGCTGGCTCCGTTTCGCCATGATGTTAGTTATTTGATGTTATTTGAGTGAACATTTGCATTGCAGTACATCGCATTTCCAACACCATTGCATATGGCAGTTGAATCATTACCCGCAGGCCTTGAGCAGTATCAAAACACCCCGCTCTGCTAAGTTTGGTAGCGGAGCCCCGCATAGGGGCATCCTGCCATAGTTGTGGTACCATCCTTCGCACTTTGGACCCAAACTTTTAGCGGCTACAGTGATAACCGTCACTGCGCCTTTCGGGGTGCCAACTACTTCAAAGCCACGAAACTCTTTTTGGTTTTAGCTTCATTGGCAATTGTATCACCGGTATTACCAAGACCTTTTTCCAAGACCAACAAGCCCAATTTGATCCCTGGCCCAACAGTTTTGCCGAAGACAGGGTGCGCCTGTCCGATCCAGGTCAGCCCAGGAAAGCAAGTTTTTCTGTTTGGTATAAGTCTTGTTGTACACACATCGAGTCCGAGCATTTTGCCGAGTACCAGCACGCGATCTTTCTTGTGACAAAGGAGGTCAATTGCTCTTGCATTCGCCACTACACCCCGGCTGAGCGCTTTGGCTTGGACCTTGCCGAGACCTTTGGTGACAACTATCCCATTGTGTCAGAGGAGGTCAATTGCTCTTGCCATCGCTCCTACAGTGACTCACGGCCCGACCACAGTTGAGACCTTTGGCATCAACTATCCTATTGAGTCTGAGGAGGTGAATTGCTCTAGCATTCGTGGCTACAGCCTGGAAGTGACCTACGGCCTGATCACTGCTGAGACCTTTGGCAACAACTATCCGTTGTGTCCGCAGAGGTCAATTGCCTGAGCGCTTTGCAAGTTTTTTCCCATTACTTGCTGAACAACTTAACGATTTTTGCCATCTTTGCGACAGTCCTCACTGAGCAGCAGCCCGTTGCCAGATCAACAGAAGCAATGGCGCAACCTGGAGGTGGAACAATTCCTCTTTCAGAATACCGTCGAGATGTACCTCCAGGCTGGGGACCCAACATCCCAGTATTCACTTCGAAGCTACTTTGAGAAGCTCTGATTGTGGCATCAAGGGTTTGAAGGTGCAGATGAAGTTGTGGGTCCATTGGTTGCTGGTCGTCTCATTGGCCGAGCTCAGAAGCTGGCAGTCAATCTTCGGCTTGCAAGGCCGCATGGAGGATACGACGTGAGCGATCAAGCATTGGTGCCTTTGTCGGTGGATGAAGTTCGGGACCCCATGATCATCCAGAGCTCTTTGCAACGCCCTCAGAGATGCCTTTGGCCAGAGTGACCACGCGAAGCTTGGAATCCTTCTTTGAATTCCGACGTGGCAAAGTGTCCCTACAAGAATATGCGGTGGAATGGGACTTGCGGTATGACGAGGCCGAGACAAGATCCAATCTCCAAAACGAAGTGGCCAAGTTCTATATATCTCTTCTTCAAGCACGGCCAGCTGCCCAACAAGTTCATCGAGGACATCAAGCTGCAACTTCATGGCAATCTGTCAAGATTCAATGAAGCCAGGACTTTGGCTTTGCGGCTTAGTCAGCATGGACAAGAAGAGCCTGGCAATGTGTTCTGTGAGGAGCCAGCTGAGACTGAGGAGAACTATGATGGCTACTGGGGAGCTCCTGGTCATACTGGTCATACTATGAGAACGAGTCCTACGAGCCCTGGCATGATGATTATGCCGATGATGGATGGTGGCCTGATGATGATGCCCACTATGAATACCAGTAGTACCGCACAAGGCGGTGGCGGAAGTTTCAAAAATAGGAAACCTATAGGAGAGGTTGGTTGTTGTGAATCAGGGATGGCAGAGCGAAGCCACTGATGGACCGAAAGGTGGTTGAGGTCTCCTCTCTTTCTCTCTCTTTCTCTGACTATCTACCTACCTACCTATCTATCTATGAATGTATCTTTCTACCTGTCGATCTATCTCTCTCTCTCTCTCTCATCTAACTACCTTTCGATCTATCTATCTGTCTATTTACCTATCTATCTATCTATCTATCTATCTATCTACCTAATCTATCTGTCTATCTATCTATCTACCTATCTATCTATCTATCTATCTATCTGGTGATCGATCTAAAGGTCCTTGTAAGGAGTTTTAATTGCGAAAGCCGTGCATGTTATGTTGGAAACCCTCGCGAAAGTTTTTTTTTCGAGTTCGCGAAAGTAAAATTTTATTTCGCGAAAGTTTCGCGAAAGTTGGGTATTATAATCATTATATGTAAAGGGCTGCCACCCACTGCCGCCCGAGGTCCGGCAGGAGAAGGGCACCAGAGAATGCGAGTAGCAGTAGCCAAGTTTCCAAAAGTGAGGCTTTGCGAGAGCCAAACACCAAGGCCCCTGGTCTTCGCTTTTCCTTCAGTGCACCCCCTGCTGATGGCCGGGGTCTGTGAATGGGGATATTTTCGCGAAAGTTATGCGAAAGAGCGGGCGAAAGTCAAAGTGCATGTTGAAGGGGGTGGGCCAGTAAACTTTGCAAAAAATATGTCCTGAGAAGGGATTCCGTGATGCCAGCTGCATGTTTAAAAGGCTACCAAGAAGTGATCTGTGATTCTCTGGCGTAATTTGGCATGTGGTGAACGAATCTTCATAAGAGGTGTTGTTGGCCAACATGGGCCCCGCGAGAGATAAACATGGAGTTCGCGAAAGTTTCGCGAAAGTAATTTTTTTATTCGCGAAGAATGGCCGTTCCGGGATAAAGGAATTTTGATCAACAACCAAAACTATCTATCTATCTATCTATCTATCTGTCTATCTGTCTATCTATCTGTCTATCTATCTATCTATCTATCTATCTATCCGTTCTATCCTATCTATCCTATCTATCCTATCTATCCTATCTATCCTATCTATCCTATCTATCCTATCTATCCTATCTATCCTATCTATCCTATCGATCCTATCTATCCTATCTATCCTATCTATCGAATCTATCGAACCTATCGAATCTATCGAATCTATCGAATCTATAGAATCTATCGAATCTATCTAATCTATCTAATCTATCTAATCTATCTAATCTACCTCATCTATCTATCTATCTTTCTTTCTTTCTTTCGTTCTTTCTTTCTTTCTTTCTTTCTTTCTTTCTTTCTTTCTTTCTTTCTTTCTTTCTTATCTATCTCTCTCTCTCTCTTTCATCTGTCTATCTGTCTATCTATCTATCTATCTGTCTATCTATCTGTCTACCTGTCTATCTGTGGTGCAGTGTCATTCAGTGTAATGTAGTGTAGTGTAATGTAGTGTAGTGCAGTGGAGTGTAGTTGAATGTAGTGTAGTGTAATTTAGTGAAGTGGAGTGTAATTTACTGAAGTGGAAGGTAGTGTAGTGTAGTGTTGTGTAATGTAGTGTAGTGTAGTGTAGTGGAAGGTAGTGTAGTGGAGTGTAGTGCGTGTAGTGGAGTGTAGTGTGTAGTTGTAGTTGTAGTGTTAGTGGAGTGGAGTGAAGTGTAGCGTTTGTAGTGGAGTGTAGTTGTGTAGTTGTAGTTGTAATTGTTGTGTAGTGGAGTGTAGTGGAGTGTAATGTAGTGAAGTGTAGTGGAAGGTCGTGTAGCGTAGTGTAATGTAGTGTAGTGTAGTGGGTGTAGTGTGTAGTGTAGTGTAGTGTAATTTAGTGTAGTGGAGTGTAGTGGAGTGTAGTGGAGTGTAGTGGAGTGTAGTGGCGTGTAGTGGAGAGTGTAGTGGAGGTGTAGTTGGCGTGTAGTGGCGTGTAGTGTTGTAGTGGAGTGTAGTGTAGTGTAATGTAGTGTAGTGTAGTGAAGCGAAGCGAAGCGACATCTGAACCTCCAAAAGTGGTCTGAATCCCTGGTGTTTTTAACATTTTGACTTCGAAATGTGCTTCGCGCCACAACGGCGTGCACTTTCTCGACATCTCAACTGCCAAAAGTGGTCCGAACCTGCTGTGCTTTGTACATTTTGACTTGGAAATGTTCTTCGTGCCACAACGGCGTGCACTT